TTTCTTAACAAGAAAGATTTTTGAAAAGTCAGTTGCATATATGCAAGTCATTATAGCTATATATAGCTATGTACACATTGATGCTTTATGGCAGTTTACATCCTTATACTTAAATCTTTCAAGCAGGTACAGCCTTCTCAAGTCATGCAAGACACGACAATTTATTAGGAATCATAGCTTCAAGCTTTAAAGGAACAAATAAATTCATGGTAAAGTACAGAAACAGAAAAAAAATTATAAGCTGAGGAAAGTGAAAAAAGGGTAATTTCTCCTGATAAATATTTACAAATGCCGCTCCAAGTGAATGTGCAACCTTCAAGTGGCTTTACCGTTTTTTGAGACTGTATAACATCCCAGGGTACACCTTCAAAACTTATTAGATTCACTTGGAAGCAAAAATAGAAATTGAAAGACCATCTGGAAGGGCACTAAAACTGTATGTTGATATCTCTAAAATCCACATTTTATTCAAGATTAGTTCCTCAGCTAGCTGCAGTCAAACTGCGTATTTCTGGATCATTGTTCTCCTGATAAACCTTTCAACTATAATTTCTATAGGGGAGCAAAAGTGTATTTCCAAAAGAGAAAAAAAATCATCAATCGAAAAGTAAATTTTAGGAACTGACATTCCAAGAAAATACATGGAAGTGAAAATAAAGTTTCACTAATGGAAATCAGAAAAAAAAAGAAAAAATAATCACCACAAACCAGAAATGAAACAAGAAACAATTCTCTGACGCATTTTCCACTGTAATTCTAAATTCATTCAACTAAATGAACACCATTAAATCTAGAATACTCAAGATAGGATGTGAAACTTCATTTCATAAACATGAGTAAGGAGTAGGCATACAGAGGACTGATTGCTTTTATTTAATAATACATACTCAAGAGATCATAAACCATAACACAAAATACATGACTATTTTTAAAACGGCAAAAATTGTATGTAATAATCATTAGCTGGTTTTCGAGCATCCATACTCCAGTGTGACTGCTGAAGTATTTTAATTCCTGTCTTCAGACAATGGAAATAAATTTCAAAAAAGGTGAAGTATAGCAGCTATGCAATCTGACATTTCAACTACATTATGCCTATTTAGGTTGCCTAAATCCCCACACAAATTGTGCCACTAGAGACAAACTAATTGTTATGGATGACCACTGTCTTAGAATTGCTCCTTTAAAGAATCATATTCTCAAGCCTGCCATATTTAGGAGGATGCAGAATATATACTGCTTTGCTGAGATTTTGCAAACTAGCACATTAATTAACTCCTGCATCCTTGACTGAAAAGTCAGATCAAAAGCTATGCACCATAAAGAGGATATTTTCATTCTTGCAGCACAAAGCAGTTTAAATTACGTATACAATGTGCTCTTACATCGCAGAACACTACAAAGATAGCAGGAATTTTAACTAGTGGGTTTGCATCCAGGATTAGAAGAATGTATTAGGTCAAAACACTTTGACAGTGGCCGCATCCTTAATTGTGATGCTTTTTTAGCACAGTAAATAATGGGAACTTTGTATACAAAGATGTGACATGCCCAGTTGCTTTGATTAAATATATCAAAATTTAAAAAACAAAAATCAAACCCCCAACCTAACCTATTTACAAGTTGTGAATGAGATGCTTTCCACAATGACTAGTCATTGGGGTAATCGATAACTTGACGCACAAGGCTATCCTCTCCTTTTTTAGTTTCTAGACCTCTGTGGTATCAAAGATAACATACACAAAGATTGCTTTGGTTTTCTCTTCTCATTTATCAAAACTGTAGCAGCATAGAGCTACCAATGCTCCTGCCAGTTTCAGTTCTGCTCTTCAGAAACTAATGGGCAGCAAGAGTTGTCACCGGTTTCTCCCAGCTGCTTGGAAATCTCAAGAGACTAACGCTCAAACAGACACTATGGCTATTTGAAAATGAGCAACAACAAACACCAGGAGACTGTTTCCCTCCTCATTCTGTTAGGGAACATAAATTGCTCAAAATGAAGAGACAAGAATTCTTATCCAGAGGTAAAGAGTGACAAAACTCAATGAAAGCAAGCTACTTGAAAGACACTTAAAGAGGGGCCTGGAATTTTGTGGGGGCATGCAGGGGAATATTATTACAAATATATTCACAGATAGGTTATTATTTTTATTTTTGCAACTACCTTGTAAAACATGACACATTTTAAGGAACTAAAAACTTAGCATGAAAATAATATTAATATTTTCATTAAATTCATCCACAGAATGATAAAAACATCCAAGAATTCCGAAACACCTTAAGCCCTCGTTTGCAAGCAGTTTCAGAGCCACAGGTATCTTCTGTACAAAAACTTGACGAGCAAGGATGTGGAACTATTAAAGCCAGAGAAAAACAAGATTCTGCCTTAACCCTTGCAATTCACTCACTCGAAATTTTGCTGACAAGTTTCATTTTTATCTTGCAGTTGGTTTCATGCTGTGTTCTTAGCTACCCTCGTGTTTGGGGTCCAGTACTCCCAGCTAATGCCAAATCTAATGCTTTTAAATGACTTCTGTTAGTCCATCAAACACTTTGTACTGTTTGATTTGTTACCCTTATTTAATGACTCTCAGGTAGATCCTCATTAAATTGTTGAAGTCAGCAGCCAATTCACACTGGGTAAAGATACATCTGTAAAAACACTACACCCTAAATTTACCAGTTCTTTTAGAGATATTAGACAAATGATTTGTACCTGTAAAGAAGGGCAACAACTGCTTTCTTGCGAGTACCCAAATCCACGACTCATGTACATTTCTAAGAGTACAATTAATTTTGAAAAAATCCCTCTAGATCTTTACCTAACTCTGCATCTGTTTTAGCCCTATATCTCTTTTCTAAGCGTTTCTGATCATACTGACTTCTGGGGAAGCTTCAGATGCAAGGTCCTTCCACAAACTCCCAGCGTACAATAGTTCGTTTTCTAGAGACAGGTTACGCCGCTTCCATGAGATGAGGTGATAGGTGACAACGCGTGAACGTATAGCAGGTGGAGACGATGTAGAATAGCTAAAGGCCTCATATTCAGTAGTGTATCAATTACTTATTAAAAGTATCCCATTAACAGAAACGCTTTCACTGAAATTTAATTTGCTTGAATAAAAGGATTCGCCGGAAGCACAGAACCATAAATTCTACAGAATCATCCCAGGATAAGGACAAAGAAAAAAAAAAAAAGGAAAGAAGAAAGCCTAGAAACAAATGGAAAGTTACCAAACTATTTTATTGCCTGAAGTGTGAAAAGCAAGAGTAAACAAACAGTGGTAATGTTTTTAATTTTTAATACACTAAGTACGTTTCTTAAGCCCAAAGGAGGCTGTTCATCAATTATCCGTGAAAAACGGCTCCCTTCCCTTTTTACTTTTTAGGGCACAGAATTTTATACCTCTTCTCCTCCTCGTAAAAGCGGGAAGTATGATTGAGGCAAGCCCCAGAGCGACAGATTTCCCACACGCTGGGAGCGGCGTCGCTCGGGTCCGGCCGTTTGCTCCTCGGTGAGACCTGTAACGCAGCGATACCGTCACGACGGGAACCGGCCCGCGCTAACACCGCTGCGCCGCCCGCCCCGGCCGGGTTACGGTAAGGGAGCCGGCGGGGGAAGAGAGGGCCCCGCGGCGGTGACAGCCCCACCGCTGCTCTAAGGCCGGGGGCAGGTGCCCGCCGCGGGGGCGGGGGGAGGCGGGGGCCGGCTGCGGGCTCAGCCCCGCCAGGCCCGGCCTCAGCCCCG